AATGAGGAGCTGACACCAAGGGCTCAAGTAGAAAGAAAATGATTTGAGAATGATGATGGCAACAAATGTACAAATGTGCTTGACATACAATGGATGCATGCATGGATTGTGACAAGAGTTGTAAGAACCCTCCATAAAATTATTGATTAATAAAAAGAGGAAGAAAGGCCTGTCCTGAGGGGGCTTCAAGGAGCTGCCAGAGCTGTCCTGTGCTGAAGGAGGGAGGGATCTGTTCTCCTCTTCACAGGAACCGCCCAGACTTTGCCTACACGCCTCCTGATTGTGAGTTGTAGCCCGTTATTTTTTAAAAAACAATTTCTTAAAAGTGGTAAATTAGATGGGGGTTTACATTTCAGTTCATCAACTGTGTACTCAACAATTTAAACTACTAATCTACCCCCAAAAGCGTTTACCTTCCCCTCCTCCTCGAATTCTCTTCTCCCGCTTGTGGACTACCATTTCCCACTCCACCCACAGCACTCGTCTACACACTAGTCTATTGAGTTCCCACCCTCCCCCACGTTGGCAAACTCCAAAGTCTGTGAAAAGTCTTTAAATTGCTTGCTTTCCCATTATCACAGGGGTTCCATACAATACTTATCCTTTTGTGACTGACTGATTTTCCTAAGCATAACGTTCTCCGGGTCTACCCATGCCACGAGGTGCCTTGTGGTCTCATCACGGTGTTGGGGCCATGCATAGTATGCCATTGTGTGTATGGATCAAAGTTTCATCCAGTCTTCCACTGATGGGCATTTAAATTGTTTCCATCTTCGTGCTTTTGTGAAGGGTGCTACAAGCCTGGCCGCGCATGCATCTGCTATCACTCTTACTTCTTTAGACTCTATGTCCAGCAGAGGTCTTACTGGATTGTATGGAATTTCTATTCCCAGTGGTTTGAGGTAATGCCCTATCATTTTCTGTGTGGCTGTCCATATTTACAGTCCTGCCAGCAGTGTCTGAGCATTCCAATCCCTCCATATCTCCTCCAGCCTTTGTTGTGTTCTGTTATTTTGAATTTGCCTGCTAATATCAGTGTAAGGCAATAGCTCATTGGTGCTTCCATGCGCATCTCCTAGATGGCTAAGGATCATGAGCATTGCTTCCTGTTTTGGCCCAGATGGCTGAATCTTCGGTGAATTGTTTGTTCCTGTCCTTTTGCCCACTTCTTACTCGGGTTACTCACCTTTTTCTTATCAGAGTTTTTACAGTTTTGTACAGATTTTAGAGATTAATCCCCTGCCATTGTGCCATTGTGAAAGGGGTTCTCCCACACCCTGGGTTCTCTTTTATCCTTTGGATGAAACCTTAGGATGCACGCGTCTTACTTTTAGTAGGTACTAGTCACCTATTTTGTTATCTAGTGCGTGTGTTCCCTTCATTATCTTTGATAGTGTGTCTGTGCCCCACAATTGGGTCCTTACATTAGTCCTCCTTTTCTTACTGATGATCTGTAACCTAGCACTAGGATTTACGTTTAGGTCTTTGATCCATTTTGAGTTGCTTTTGTACATAAGGTAATGTATGGGCCCTGCTTCATTGGAAATCCAATTTTGCCACTTCCATTTGTGGAAGCCACTATGTCTGTCTTATTTAATATTTTTTGGTCCTTTTTGAAGATCAGTTGTCTGTAGATGGATAAATTTATTTCTAGGGTTTCTGTTTTGTTCCATTGGTCTAGTTATCTATCATCATCGTACCAGTACTGGGCTGTTTTGACTACTGTGGTTACGTATAGGTTTCGAGCTCAAGAAGTGAGAGGCCTCCTCCTTGGTTCTTCTTAGGAAGTCCTTTGCTTATGCTGGTCTCTTTCCTCTCTACACAACATGAATTGTGTTTTCCACTCTTCTAAAGAATGAATTTCGTCTATGGATTGGAACTATGCTGTATTTATAGATTGCTTTGGGTAGTATTGATATCTTCACAATACTTAGCCTGTCCATTCATGAACATGGACTATTCTATTTATGCAGGTCACTTTTAGTTTCTTGTAATAATGTTCTATGGTTTTCTTGGTACGTCTTTTGTTTCTCTGTTTAGGTGTATTCCTATATATTTCATTTGGGTTTTTGGTGTGGCTATTGTTAGTGGTTGTGTTTTATTGATTTTGTTCAGAGTTCTCTTTGTTAGTCTACCAGAATCTGATTGATTTTTGTATTTTAATCTTGTGTCCTGCCATGTTGCTGAACCTTTCTATTGTTTCCAACAACTTTTTTTTTTTTTTAAAAATTTTATTAGGGGCTCATACAACTGTTATCCCAATCCATACACACATCAATTGTGTAAAGCGTATTTGTACATCATTTCTCAAAACATTTTCTCTCCATTTAAACCCCCGACATTAGGTCCTCATTTTTCCCCTCCCTCCCCGCTCCCCTCTCCCACATGAGCCCTTGATAGTTTATAAATGGGTATTTTGTCATATCTTGCCCTGTCCGACTTCTCCCTTCACCCACTTTTCGGTTGTCTGTCCCCCAGGGAGGAGATCACACACAGTTCCATGTAATCGGTTCCCTCTTTCCTACCCATTCTCCCTTTACCCTCCCTGTTTTGCCACTCACACCACTGGTCCTATAGGGCTCATCCATCCTGGATTCCCTGTATTTTCAGTTCCTATCTGTACCAGTGTACCTCCTCTGGTCTAGCCAGTCTTGCAAGATTGAATTCGAGTCATGGTAGTGGGAGCGGGGAGGAAACCTTTAGGAACTAGAGGAAGATTGTATTTCTCATCATTGTTACATCGCACCCTGACTGGCTAATCTCCTCCCCGAGACCCCTCTGCAAGGGGATCTCCAGTGGCCTACTAATGGGCTTTGGATCTCCACTCCGCACTGCCCCCATCATTCACTATGGTGAGATTTTTTGTTCTGATGATGCCTTACACCTGATCCCTTCGACACCTCGTGGTTGCATAGGCTGGTGTGCTTCTTCCATGTGGGCTTTGTTGCTTCTGAGCTTGATGGCCGCTTGATTACCTTCAAGCCTTTAAGACCCCAGACGCTATACTTTTTGATAGCCGGGCACCATCAGCTTTCTTCACCACATTTGCTTATGCACCCACTTTGTCTTCAGTGTCCAACAACTTTTGTATCGAGTCTTTCGGATTTTCAAATCATATCATCTGCAAATAGTGAGAGCTTCACTTTTCTTTTTCTGTCCCATACTGGATCCTTTATTTCTTCTTGTTGATCATGAACAACGATAGCTTGGCTAAGACTTGGCTAATAGCTCTGGCTAAGACATCTAGCACAACATTGAATAAGAACAGTGGTGATAATAGCCTGGGGTTTTGGGTTGTTGTTGTTTTTATAGTAGCCTGCTCATCTTGATCCTGGGTTGGGCCTTTTTACTTGGTTAATAAACCACTTCATATTATTTATTTATTTATTATTATTTTTTAATCACTTTAACTATAGGTACAGTTCATGAGGTTTTGTTGTTCTTAATCATTTTATTGGGGGCTCTTACAGCTTTTATCACAATCCATATATACATCCATTGTGTCAAGCATATGTTGCCATCATCATCTTTAAAGCATTTTCTTTCAACTTGAGCCGTTGGTATCAGCTCCTCTGAGGGGTTAATCAGTTCATGAGTTTTATGTGGCCATTCCAATGGATTATTGAGCCCATAAGAGAAACCGAGAGTGGCATGAGGGACAGCTCATGTTAGAGTTTATAAAAAGGTTGGAGAATGGAGGAATGCCTAACCTGTCCCACATAGGAATCAGCTTTGGGCTGATCCTGGTCATAATCCTCCTTAACCTAAACAGGTTCTGCTGCCACTACTATCATTTCACAGTTGGCTATCTTTTCTATCTCCACAACGTTTCAACTTCTGACTAATTGTGGCAGTTAGACTCTATGTCAACGTGAATAGGTATGAATATGTAGCGGTGGAAGCCAACTTGTCAATCAGGCCACAGCCCGATGATGCCTCTTTGGGGGTGTGGTCTTTTTATAAGGGAGAAACTGAACATCTCTCTCTCTCTCTCTCTCTCTCTGCCCCTCTGTCTTCCTGACTGTTGAACTCTGTGTGTGCCTCCAGGGCTGGCTGCACCCTGCCATGTTCCTCCCAGCTTGGATCCCTGCGATTCTGCACCCACAGGTGTGCTCTTCCTGCACACTGGGTCATCAGCCTGCAGCGAGGTGAGTCTGACGAGGGCCCCAGCTAGCCTCAGATGTAAGAATTTGACTTAGACTGGGCTGGGATGCCTTCTTCATATTGTATTACTTGTTGATAGAAAGTTCTTTCTTGTACAAGGAGGAGTGTCGCTGATTTTGTTTCTCTAGCCAACCCAACCCAGCACACTAAGGTTTCATGTAGGCATCTGGATAGGGCCTGCTTACGTATCTTCATCATCAGATCTGGGTTCCAGTCGTTCTTCATCTAGTTCGATGCCGCAGGTTACTTCCACCGTACCCTCCTCTTCTGTGGGAGCCAATGTGTTCATGTTTCCATTGTTCATTGAGAGAGAGAGAGAGAGAGAGATATTAAAATTTGGAGAGTGTTTAAAGGAGCTAGCACTGAGATTAAAAATAGTTTATACGTATATAATATAATAACTAGACTGTAGTCTGAGACTTTACATTTTCAGTTTGAGTAGGCAAAAATATATATTTTTAAGTAACAGGAAACTAAGAGATAAAACATAAGTAACAGTATGAATAAAACTCAACCCAACTGCCATTGAGTTAATTGGAACATAATTAAATATATAATCAAATAATATGAAAATAAAATTAGCAGCCTTATACCAATACAATTGAAAACTTATAATGAAAATTTTTCTATAGCACTATAGGAGTATGTATCTAAAAGTTACTCAATAAGAAAGAGAAATCTGAAATTAAGCCATGTCTATTAATGAATTTGAATAAATAAACCAATATCCCTGCCATAAAGTACGAGAGCCTGAAGAGTTTACAATCTATAACTGATGTTTAGAAAACCTTCAAGGATAAATAAATGCTATCTAATATATACTGTTCCAGAAAATAAAGGTGGGGCAGGGGACAGGGAGCTGTTTAACTCAATCTATGAGGCTAGTGTAAAGATCAGAAACTAATTAAATATGGGTTAGTTTCACAAGCATGTAAAAATCCTCAATAAAACATAAACTCAAAACAAACATAAACTCATTGTGTCAAATCACATTTTTAAAGCACTACCTTACCAAGTTGGGTTTATATCCAGAATTATAGATTTAAAAAAATAATTATAGATAAGTTAATATCAGAAAATCCTCCTGTTAATTCACCATATTCCTGGATGAAAGTAGAAGAGTGATTATCTGAATATAATAAGCACATAAAAATCAATAAAATTCAACCTTCACCCAGAATAAAAACTTTTAGAAAAATTAGGAAAATAAATTATTCTTTAATCTTCACTATTTGCTGATCTAAATGTCATCCTTCCCTATCTGACCCCTGCCCTACCTCTGGGTTTTCAATTACATGAGATTATACATTTCTGTGTTGTTCACATCAGTCTGAGTTGGTGCTACCTGTTTGCAGCCCAAAGAATTCCAAGTTAGACACCTGATGCCAGAACACCTATAATGAACCTCTACCACAATGATAGCGATTTCTAAATTATTTCCATTGGAACATCACTGCAGGTAATAGGCAACATTAAAAAGACCAAAAGAGAGACAGAGAGAGAGAAGGATTAAAAAGGAAGAACCAAAATTTAAACGTGACAGGTTGATGCTTTAATTATACAGAAAATTTAAAGAAAAGTTTTTTCACTTCTCTATAGCAATGCAGCGACCCTCAAGACTCTAAAATTCCATCCACTTTAAGATGTATTTTATTGTATACACCAATACCAAAGATAATGTTCCCAATAAAATTCATGTTACTGATGTAAATAAACTTTAAAACTTTTAGATCTTTCTAAATATATATTAAATCTTAAATCACTCTTGTACATTCAGAAAAAGAAAAGATACAGGGAGGAAGACAAAAATAAATTGGATAAGACATTCCCAAAGTTTCTCACATTCAGAGTCTTGTGTCTCTGAATTGCTTTGTGTGTGAACGACACAGCTCAACCACACTTCATTTGGATTCTGGTTCAAGCAAATAATAATAAAACTATCAGTGAGATAATTAGGGAAATTTGTGTACTTTTCCTAAGTCATTCACTGCCCCTCCCCTAAATAATGTCATCATGGGTGTAATGAAACCACTGTTGAGGCCTCTTCCTTAAAAGAATCCAACAAAAGAACTAAGAACCCCTAACAGGGCTAAAAGGATCTACAGATGAACAAGAACAACGCTAGCTTCTTAAGCCAGCCTTACAATCATGCAGAACTAACCTACTTTTGACTTCCATTTAGGGAGTTTTTGCTAAATACGTCTATTATTGAGCCATTACAGAGTAATCAACCACCATATAACTGGGTTTTTTAAAACAGTAATCTAACAGTAATAATATATAACTGATCAAGGATTCACAAGGGTGGAAGGGTTGGAGAGGGAGGGGAAAAAAGAGCTGATATCAAGGGCTCCAGTAGAAAGAAAATGTTTTGGAAATGTTGATGGCAACATATGTACAGGTAGACTTAATACAATTGAATGACGGATTGTGATAAGATTTGTAAGAGCCCCCCAAGAAAATGATTAATAAATAATAAACTAAATGACATTAAAAATAAACAAAACTGTAACCATTTCATTAGGTCACACTCTAAGTTAGGCAGTTTGGACTGGGCTCAGCTGGTTGGCTCTTCCAGTCTCGGCAGGGTCCAGTGCGCATCGGCAGGAATTCAACAGTTCACTTGGAGGTCTCACTCAGAACAGCTCGTCTTCTCCGCATGCTCTCTTCTTCTCAGCAGAGGTGGTTAAGAGCCCGCAGGATTCCAAAAGGAAAGAGTGGAGCTCATAAAGCTCCTCGAGGCCCAGACTCAGACCAAATGCATCATCACGTTCACTGGATTCTACTGAACTGAGCCAAGTCCAGATTCACAGGGGAGAGAACATGATGACAGAGGAGCTGCATAACCTACCTCTCCCACCTGCATTCTAGAACCCTCTGGTTCTTTTTAAAAAATCACTTTACTGGGGGCTCATGCAACTCTTATATCACAATCCATACATACATCAATTGTATAAAGCACATTTGTACATTCATTACCCTCATCATTCTTAAAACATTTGCTTTTCACGTAAACCCCCAGCATCAGCTCCTCATTTTCCCCCCTCCCTCCCTCCTCTCTGGTTCTTATAGGATAAAAGAGTGAGTGTTTCACTATAGTCTCCAGGAATAAAATCCCTCCACCATCCCCCACCTGCCTCAAACTCTTGCTACAGTTTTGATAACCACTGAGACCCAGATAATGATATTACATCAGAACTGCAACTGGCCTGTAGTAATGGTTATAAAACACCATTGATGTAAAACACTTCCAAGACTCAGGAACATTTAAAAGGGGGAATCGGGGAGGAAGGTGGATGAGTGCGGTAAGTACATAATCTGGTGTCAATTTGAGAGGATTATGAGTGAAGGGGTGGAGTCTGGTCTGTCAATCAAGACATAGCCAATGAGGTCTCTGTGTGGGCATGGCCTTCTGAGAATTCTGGGAACTCCTGGATTTCCTCCTTGGAGGTGGCAGACTTCTCTCTCTGGACTCACTCCCTTGGAGACTCAACTGACAAGGCTGACTCCTTGCGAGACATCCCTGAGGAGAAGCCTCCTGGACCTACCCTGATGCAGCTCTGGGGGCTGGAGAAGCCACATGGAGACCCCTGCCAGCACTGAGATGCTTACACCACCACTGGATCCACAGGATTTCCCACCTACTAGCCTGTGATCTTCCTGCATTTGGCATCATTGGATGTGTTCCTGAGTCTAAAGAGGACTTTATAGATTGGTATTGGACATATGGGCTAATATTTGACTTACAGACTTGATCTGGACTGGGCTAGGATAGTTCCTCAATATTCAACTGCTCTTGTATATAAACCTCTTTCTTATACACATATGTGTGTCTATGAATTTGTTTCTCTAGTCTACCTACACTAACACAATGAGCATCTTAGAATTGCTGAATTTTAGGAAACTAAGATACAGTTGAACATAATGTTTTAAATGTCAATCATGTCAAGTTTATTGTTCAACTTTTCTATGTGCTTACAGATTTTTGCTAGTTTGATATGTTTGTTTCTTCTGTTTCTCCAGTGAGATCTGTCAATTTTACATTTATATGTTTTAGCACCATCTTATGAGGCACCTACAAACTTTAAAGAGTTATTTCTGGTGGATTGACATATTTTTCATTATGAAAATTCTTATCTTTACCCATGCTACTTAAAATGGATTTTTCATTTGGTGTTTTCTTGTTCTCTTTTTTTCCATTCATTTATATTCTGCCTCTCTACCCAAGCTTGTTAACCCACAAGGTCAGCAGTTCGAACCCACAAACTGCTCTACAGAAAAAAGATGGGACTTTCTGCTCCCATAAAAGGTGTACAGCCTCAGAAATGTACACGGGCAAGTATACTTTGCCCTACAGCCCTACTATACTGCCCTCAGCAGTGGTTCTCAACCTTCCTAATGTCGTGACCCTTTAATACAGTTCCTCATGTTTAGCCACCCTCCAACCATAAAATTATTTTCGTTGCTACTTCATAACTGTCATTTTGTTGATGTTACGAATTGGGTGATCCCTGTGAAAGGGTCATTTGACCCCCAAAGGGGTCGTGACCCACAGGTTGAGAACCTCTGCCTGACAGGGCCATGATGAGTTGTGATTGACTCAAAGGCTTTGACCCAGCCATTTAGTAGGAATTACAAAGATTGTCCAGAAGAGGTCTGCCAAGTAATTTACTGCAGCACATCCTTCAATTAAGGAAAAGCAGTAATCAGGCTAAAACAATAGGGTGAAATAAAAACTTTGTCATGATACATTTTTATTGCCCATAAAGTAGTAATCTGAGTCCATGAGATAGCTATCAGAAATAAATGGACTCTTAGGTGAAGAGCCAAGCAACACCAGATCATCACCTATGAAGCACAACTCATGGCATCTCTATGCCTCTCAGGGTAGAACTGCTCCTTCTAGTGTTTCATGGCTGATTTTTGAGAATGAGATCACATGGCATCTCTATGCCTCTCAGGGTAGAACTGCTCCTTCTAGTGTTTCATGGCTGATTTTTGAGAATGAGATCAACAGACTTTTCTTGTGAGGCCCCTCGGGGTTCACCCCCATCTCCACCCAAGGGACTCCACAAAGCCATTGGTGGTGGGCATAGTGGTCAGTTGTCAATACTAATTCATAGCAGCCCCCAAGGGCACCAGTAGGTCTGTGCTGTATAGGGTTTTCAAATTGTGACCTTGTAGAAGCAGGTTGTCACCGCTGTCTTCCAAGACACATTTGGGTAGGTTCCAATGGCCAGCCTTCCAACACTTTACCATGTGTGCTACCCAGTGCAATTGTTGGGTGCCTTCGAGCAGATTCTACCTCGGAGCCACCTCATGTGACAGACTAGAGCTGCCCATGGGTTTTCTTGATCACTCGGCCTTTCTTGGATCCTGGATAGGCTTGAACCGCTAACCTTCCAGTTAGCAGCCAAGTGACCCCACAAATCCGTTATTCAACTTATTTAACTTTCCACCAATTGCTAACAGATGACATTAAAGAAAATGACCATACTCCTCTTGGAAGCCTCCTAATTGAATGCAGTTTCATTCCTGTTCTGCATTTATAAGGAGCTCTGGTGGCCTAGTGGTTAAGTGCTGGCTGCTGACCCCAGGGCCAGCAACTGGACTCCGCTCGGGAAGGAAAAAGAGACAGGGCGGTCTGCTTCGCTAAAGTTTCACAGGAGCGGGGCAGCTCTACTCTGTCCTCAGAACCCCCTGAGTCACAATCAACGAGACATGGGTTTTCTGTGCTTCGCGTCATTGACAAGATTCCTAGAGGATAAACTACATACCAACTTTTCCTTCATTTGCCGAAAATGAGCGACTCAGCAGATGTGCTTCGGCCAAGACAGCCATTAAGGTCCCTGGCGCTTCATGCTGCCACTGTTTCCTGTTCTCCAGAGCCCCATCAAGCACGACCACGTGGCCATCTGGAGAGGAAACCGTGTGAGCCAATACAATCCAATAAAACGCCAATTCTCCTTCATCGGTACTTTTATGAAAGCACAGACAGTCGATTAGAACCTTGGGAGTAACCTCATTCCACCCCTTTGTTTTATGAGGAGGGAAACGGAGATCTGCGCAGGGTCTTCCCGTCAGGTGACTGGTGTAGACGGAGGTGACCTTAGCTTGGGAAATGGACTGTTTGGGTGTGTTAACATATCTCATCTATTTGCTTATGTGAAGTCAGATTTCTTATGCTCTCATTGTCTCAGAATAAATTAAAATATGTTACTTGGCAAGCACCTTCGTTCTTGGAAGTTTGCTAACTTTAGGACTCCATAGCAGTTTGAATGTAAGTCAATTCAGACAAGGATCTTTAACTAATTTCAGCGATATACTTACCTAACCACTGTGCCACCAGGGCTCCTCAACACATTTTAGCCTATTTCCTTCATATAACATAGGTATCAATCTTAGCTTGCCCCCAGTCCCAGAAGATCAAGAGAAACACAGGAAACAAATGATAAAGATCATCCCACTGTGAGGTTATAATTCTCTTGAGGCCACTGGGAAAAATCATCCAAGGAAAGGATATGTCAGAAGCTTCCAATGTAAATAGAGGATTTCAGGTCATAAGTATCACATCCTAAATGCTCCTAGCATTTACACAGCACAGTGGTGTTTACAAAGCAGTTATATGTACTTTACATATAAGACAAAACAAAGCCCTGACTCATCGTACCCCTGTGGGTTTCTGAGACTATAACTGTTCATGGGAGGGGAAAGATGTCTTTCACCCATGGAGTTGCTGGTGGTTGTGAATCACAGCCCAACATCTAAGCACTACACCACAGGGACTCCTGATACTTTATAAAACCAGAGTAGAACTGCTCCGGTGGGTTTATGGGACTAACTCTTTATGGGAGTAGAAAGCCTCCTCTTTCTTCTGAGGAGCAGCCTGTGGTTTCAAACTGCTGGTCTTGGGGTTAGCAGCACAACATATAAACACTATGCCACCAGGATATAAATATGTGCATGTATATGTAAATCATTTTTTAGTGTTATTAACTCTCTAAATTGGGACAGCTATTACATTTACTTCAATTTTAGTGGTAAAAAAAATCAACACTCCAAGATGTTGTGAGGAAATTGAGAGGTAAACTGAGGCACAGGGAGATGGGCAAAGATAACTGAAGGACAAAGGGAGAGCAGAAACAGAAATAGCTTTATTAGGGGGTATCTCCTGGGCAAAGCCCCATGGTCTAGCAAGTAGCCCAGGGGAATCGCGGGCTTTGTTCAGGGTCTGGGGGTTTTAAAGAAAAGCAGGGAGGGGGTTTCGTGCTGTAGCAGCAAGGTTTATGGCCCGGGATGTCAACAGCAAGGTTTATGGCCCAGGATGTAGTTTATCAGCTCTGGCAGGCAGGCCAACCGGTTCTCAGGGAGTCGGGCATTCCAGCATTGTTCTTGGGTCTCCTCATTTCAGAGGGACAGCTGTTGACCTCCAGGGATGTGCAGGGACACGGGACCCTAACCTGCTTCAGCTCCGTCCAATCAAACAACTGTACTAACACTAGAAGATGAATCAAGTCTCCCTTAACCATGAAGAAGGTGGTATGGATTGAATTGCGTCTCTGCATCCCTCCTTGAAATCTGTATTTAAATCCTGGTGCCTTATACCTGTGGATGTAATCCTGTTTGGCTAGAGGGTTTTCTCCATTGTGTTAATGTGGTAGTTACATAATTTCTTGTCAATTTGAGGACATTAAGAGTAAAGGGGGAAAAAGAAAATTTTTTTATAAAATATCAAGGGTTCATGAAGGAGAGAGGAGGGGAATGAGCTGATATCAAGAAGAAAGAAAATGTTTTGAAAATGATGATGGCAACATATGCACAAATGTGCTTGACACAATGGGTGGATGGATGGATTGTGATAAGAGCTGTAAGAGCCCCAGTAAAATGATTTTTTTTAAAGTGAAGGGGTGGAGTCTAGCCTGTCAATCAGGCCATAGCCTGATGATGCCTCCTTGTGGGTGTGGCCTTCTCATAAGGATTCTGGGAACTTCCTCTCTGTATCCTGGGAGGCAGGCCACACATTTTCTCTGCTTCACCTTCCTGTTGAGGAGCCACACTCAGGAGTTGGAGGAGCCACGTGGAGATGCTTCCACTGCCAGTAGATCCACAAAACTTTTCACCCACTAGCCTGTGATCTTCCTGCATTCAGCATCATGAGTCTGAAGAGTTTATGGGCAAGTATTGGACAGATGGGCTCATATGGACTTGATCTGGACTGGGGTAAGATGTCTTCTTAAGATACAATTACTCTTCCATATAAAGATCTCTCCATACATAGATGAGTGTGGGAAACAAAACATGGGAAGAGAGTGTATGTGGAAAAACTCAACCTTCGGACATTAAGGCATCTGGAAGACCAGAGCTGATGTGGAGGGAACCTTCATGCTCACGGGTTGCAGATGCGTCTCACTCACATTCTCATAAGTAGAAGTCATTCCCTTCAATGTTCCCCATAATAACGCCAAATTTAAGGTGCTGTTTGCAAACACATGGTCTCTTATTATAAGCTTGAAGGTCAACTGCTTGAAGGCTATCTGCCACCAAAAGCAATCAGACCCTATTGTCTATCCCACCCGAAGTAGAGACCACTCCCTTCCGATCATGGCAATGGATGGTTCCCCTGAAGAAGAGCTCAAAGACACCTACGGCCAAGTCAACTCAGGGACGACCAAGGTTAAGCTGTCATCTGCCATCTTGACACTAGAGCCTGCCCATTCAGTGATGGATGTGCCTCTAGTGCAGGGCTTCTCAACCTCTGGGTCGCGACCCCTTTGGGGGTCGAATGAGCCTTTCACAGGGGTCGCCTAAGACCATTGGAAAACACATTTCTGATGGTCTTAGAGACACTGCTCCTCTATCTGTCTCCAGGTGGGTTCGCCTACATGCAGATACGCCCACATATGAGTACCTGGTGTGAAGACTGTTACCCATGCTACAACATGCCTACAGACAAAATTTCATTGATTCGTCATTCTAAATAAATATTTCACAATATAATTACATATTGCTTTTGTGATTAATCACTATGCTTTAATTTTGTTGAATTTGTAGCAATGCAAATACATCCTGCATATCAGATATTTACATGACCATTCATAACAGTAGCAAAATGACAGTTATGAAGTAGCAACGAAAATAATTTTGTGGTTGGGGGGGTCATGTATTAAAGGGTCTGTATTAAAGGAGCTGTATTAAAGGGTCATGGCATCAGGAAGGTTGAGAACCACTGCTCTCGTGCCTCCCCTTATCTGACCCCTAGGTCATCCCTCTCCTGTTACATGTATGCCTCTAGTACAACCCCTTACTTAGGAGCTTACTGTGACTTGCTTGCCTGAGATTACATAAGTCTGTGAGTCAATAAAATACGGTCTCATTCCGGTTCCAGTCATCAGGGGCAGGTGAGTTCTTGCATGCTGTAGCTTGTCTGGTGTATCTTTAATTTACCCCTCAATTACATCATCACCCCCTGGACCCATCCCGTTGTAGGGAGGCTGGTCCCCCACCTATAAGTGCCTCTGAATTGGTTTCTCTAGTCAACATGCACTAACACGGTTAATAAGGCCATACCTGTGGAGTGTTGTCCTGAAGATCACTTCTGAGTTACAATAAGAACAGAACAGCACAGCTACGAAGTGGGGACAGACAGACGCCAGATGAGGATATACAAACCCAGTACCATCAAGAAACTGAGGAACGGCCAGATACATGACGGGGAAAATGAACCCGCATTCTAGGCTGGACTGCTAACCTCAGGTCAGCAGTTTGGACCCACCAGAAAGAGGAGGCTTTTTCTGCTCTGGTCAAATGTACGGTCTCAAAACTCCCGGACAGTTCTACTGTGTCCGACAGGGTCCTTGTGAGTCAGAATTGACCTGCTGGAAAGGAGTTGGGTTTTTGTTTTTTAATCAACAAGGAAGGAACAGCAGGAGACCTGGATTTGAACTGTTAGTCTCCAGGGTTGTGAGAGTAACAAATTGCCCTCATTGATGGTGTTTGTGGCAGCATTAGATAAGTAAGGTGGGATCTGGGATTATCCCTCCTTCCTTTTATAGGAGAAAACAACAACAACTTACTGCCATCAAGTTGAGCCTAGTCCAGCTCATAGTGACCCTACAGGACATGGTAGCCTAACGGGGAAAAAGGAAACTTTCTACTCCCATAAAGAGTTACAGTCTTGGAAATCCACAGGGGCAGTTCTACTCCCTCCTAACTCAATAGTAGTTTGTTTTGTTTTGAATGCTTCACAGGAGTAGAAAGCCTCATCTTTCTGGAGGGGAGCACTGGTGGTTTCGAACTGATGACCTTGTGCTTAGGAGCCCTACGTGTAACCCTCTATGCCACCAGGGAGGGATCCTGTAACTGGGGAAGTCTGGATAAATTGCAAGCCAATCTCTCTGGACACAGGGGAAAACAAAACATTATCTTTGAAAGGCCGTTGCTATAGAAACCATATAGATTGCCCTGAAACGTAAGATCACATCAGGTGGGCACTAGAACATGGAGGTCTTGGGGACCTGGATCCTTCCCCCTCCAACCCCACCCCGCACTCCCCAGACAATATATGTTTCATGATCAGCATTTCACCTGCAGGCTCGCTGGGGTAGGTGGAGGTGGAGGTGACATCAGCTTCGGCCATCAGTCGCAGCAGGGTCTGTGGGGCGCCCGCCTCCCACTGCCTCCTGTTTTCTGCAGCAGCAGCAGCTTCATGGCTGAGCAGCTCTGAGTCTAAGAAAATGACTCAAGTCAAAAATAACTCAAGTTTCGACGAAGCCTATCATCTGGCCTCTCAAGACTGGGAAGGCTCCACCCACATCCCAGCATCATAAGAGAAAACTCAACGTATGAACAGGATTAAAAATGGCGTCCCTGTCATCACAGGTGTCTGACTGACCAGCCAACATATCCGAATGTTAAAGAAACCATAGTGACACATGTGGACACTCCCTTGGGAGCCCAGGACATCGTTTACTGTATGTAGTCCCTTGCCACATCTGTTTTCTCGTGGAAAAGATCACACTTGTTATTTTTTTATTACTATGCTTTCAGCATAGAGAATTTGAAACCTGACAAGAGAATAAAAAGTACTCATAATCCTACCCTCCAGAGACTTTGAACTGCACTGTGCTGTGGTACCATCCTGTGTCGTTGAACATACTGTGCTGTGATACCATACTGTGTCATTGAAATACCGTGTCATTGAACATACTGTGCTGTGATACCATACTGTGTCATTGAACATACTGTGCTGTGGTACCATACTATGTTGTGGTACCATACTGTGTCGTTGAACATACTG